CTGCACCGCCTTACAAATACATTTATTAAAATGATGTATATACTTTAGAAATAAAAAGATAATATATTTAAATTCAAGAGAAATATTGCAACAACAACAACAAACTAAATTGTATATCATTTTTGTTTCTTGTGTTTTTTCTTCTTTTTAAAATGTAAAATGATTTTTTTCTCCTAACATATAAATTTAGGTGTAATAATTTTTATTACTGTTAGTTTTTTTGTTAGATTAGGTCCAGATTTGGCTTCAGTACTGACTGATCTAATGTATGTACACAAATATAATTTTGTAAAGCTTACTATAGAAAATATCAATTTAAAAGATTTGTAAGGGGAGTACTCATATATGCTGATATATATAGTCAAGGCCAAAATTATTGACACCTTTAGGTGTATATGTGTGTGTGTGTGGCATATTGATTTAAATTTATTTAACCAGTTTTACTACAAACATGGTTGAACTGTGGTTGGTACAGCAAAACCAAATGTGTGGTTATAATATTTAACTAGTTTTGTTTATATCACCCACTACGAATACTCAAATTATTGCCAAAACCCACTTACTTTTTGCTTTGAGATTAAATAATCTCATTCTTCTTTGTATTATTAGTATGAGAAAATGTATTCTATAGCCACATTTTATAAGCAAGCAAACAAATTCCTCAAAATCTTGCTTACACACAGTTATCTAATAGGTTTTAGGCATTGCCTGCAGTCATATGGTACTTGTTGGTAACTTCCCAAGCCAGAGACTAGAGTTTATTTCACATTCTTAACAATGAAAGCATCCTGTCAGCCTCTTTCCTCTCACAAAGCTGAACAAGAGCCAAGGACGCAAACAGCGGTCTTATCGGTCAACAGCCGATTTACTCTGGAGCTTCTCATTTTCTTTTGCAGTGGCATTTAGACAAATGAGAGGAGCTCCTAAACTAACACCGGAGGACGGCCGGCCATATCACACGCTGCCCACCTTCATTCATTACCTATATGAAAATAAAGCAGAGAATGTGATCAAAGCAATCTCCACTTCGCCTCTCTTCCTGGCCCGGAAAGGGAATGACTCAGAATTGATTGCTGTTGCTTCTTTTTGTTTGCCTTCGCATGGAACGCTGTTATCTCCTATTAAAAGAGTGTGTGTGAAGAGATCTCCGCGGACATAAATCACAGAAGCAGCCCTCCTTCAGGCAAGCAGAGAAGCAATCAATTACATACAAGAAGACAGAGAGGAGGAGGCTGACAGCACATTCCCTCTCCTCCCTTATTAACATAATTATTCCCTTAGCGTTTATGCAAAAATACACAATGGTATGAGCTTTTTTTGTAGATTAACGTTTCTTAGGGGGCTTGTTGTTGGGTAAACTTCATGTTTCGACTAAACACAGACCATTGGTTGAAACAAAAAAGAAAAAAAAAAGTTCATACAAGTTTTAACTATATGGATGAACTGATACCACTTTTTTATGAACCGATACCAGTACGAGTATTTTAATTTGTGTACTCGCTGATACAGAGTACCAATTCCGATTCTTCATAGATTTGGTTTCAATGAAAGTGCAATTAATGGAGGTTGCAAGGCAGTTGTTAAGGCATTGCTAGGGTGTAATTATGGTTCTAGTAGGAATTAGCATATTGCTAGCATGTTTCTAGCATGAACTACCATGTTTCTAGCATAAACTAGCATGTTGCTAACATTAATTTAGCATGAATTAGCTTGTTGCAAGTATGTTTATAGTATTTTTTTTGTGTACTCGCTGATACAGAGTACCGATTCCGATACTTCATAGATTTAGTTTCAATGAAAGTGCAATTAATGGAGGCTGCTAGGTTGTTAATGTGTTGCTAAGTGGTTGATAAGGTGTAATTCGCATGGTTCTCTTATAAATTAGCATGTTTCTAGTATAAATTAGCAAGGTTTTTGCGTGGTTCTAGTATGAACTAGCATGTTTCTAGTAGCATGTTGTAAACATGACGTAAGTATGAATTAGCATGTTGCTAGTATGTTTATAGTATTTTAATTTGTGACTTTTCTGAATTTTCCGGGACAGTTTTTGGAAAACTGTAAGTCGAACCATAAGTCAGTTGGAAAAGATATAGCAACCTAATTCAGTTTAGTTTGGAAGTTTGGAGTTGGTTTGGTGGTTGTAGTATGAACAGTCTGGGAGGGGATGCATTCTTAAAATAGTCTAAGAAGAAGACAGAAGAAAAATACTAAGTTAAAGTAGTATAACAGAATGTTGGCTTTCTCAAGCCACCATAACTATGGGTGGGTCACAGGTGGATAAGATCAATAGTTGGTTATGCAAACTTTGACTACTTTCTCTAAAATATTAAGATGTTTTAAGCAATTTTAACTTGTAATACTGCCACAAATACGCATGCTCTCATTTAAAAATCACATGACCATCATCTCACAATGTTTCTGAGTTTCTGGCGCAATAGATGATTTTTTGTGATGATATGGACTAAATATTAAAAAGGAAACAGAAGTTTGACAACAACAGATCCTAACAATGTCATAACGAATGCCCTTAAATAATGTAGCCTAGTTGACAGCAAGCATGAAATGGTTATTGAGATTGTGTCGTCTGTCATGTATAGACTATCTGATCTCTACAGAAGCTGGTAAAAGACGTGCACAGTGACCGCAGTGTTCAGCTTTGATGAGGTGCTTTTATTTAGCCTGTAGTCCACTATATATAATAGTTTAGATTTTTTATATAATGTTCCATTACCTAAAATTTCTTAATTTATTATATTTATAGTTTTTGTATATAAAATGAGTGCTAGCTTGGATCATAATGCACATTCGGTTTCTTCTTCAGTAGCTTATACATTTGTTAATCATGTATTTTATAAACGGATTAAGGAATAAGCTGCTAATATATAATTAATACATTAAGACATTGAAGTCAGTCAGAACAGCAAAACAAATCCATGTAGTGAATTACTGTTGAATGGTATTGGTATTTCATGTATGATATGAGTATGAGTATTTAACCAAGTATCAACCCGATGCCCGATACTGTTTTCGGCAACTTCATTCTGAAAATGTACCTCTATAAACATTTCTGGAAAGCGTCAAATATATCCCAGAAGGTACTTTTTTTGCAGTTTTTGATTTCTCGAATCCACTAGAGGCCGCAGTGTACGCTTTTTGAGATCTAAAATTTCTGTTGCGAGTGCCATTCGTGCCTGCTGTTCTCTCATAAATCCATCAAAGGCCAGTGTTAAGTGACTGTTTGACTGACTGACTGAATGACTGACCGATCAACTGACCCACCGTCCCCCTTCCCTAAACCCAACCAATAGTATTTTAAAAAGCAGATTGACCCGCCCACCCGCTTCCCTGAACCCAACTGACAAATTTAAAAAGCAATTCAGAAAAATAAATGCCCTCGTATGATTTTTACTGTTTTACCACATTCTCACCCTGTTATTTACTTATTTATTTTATTTTTTGGCTTCTGTTCTTGTCTTACCTGCTATCTGGAACTGTTCTTCCCCGGACTTGAACCCCAATGTCGTTCTCATCTCCTCTCTCCATCTCAAGTCCACCGACGCACATGCTGAGCTAACTGAACAAACTAATAACAGCCAGGAAGCAGTCCATACGGAGGTAAGGGGTCAGCAGGTAAGTGCGAAGAGGAACGGTGTCATACTGCCCTGTAGCATTCGTTTACAAAATGAAATGCAGCCATACGTACTTGTGGCTACATTATTCACAATCTCCAGAAATTTTCAGAATGAGCCTATGTTGGGCATCGGTGCATCCCTAATTTTAACATTTGTTTGCACTTGATTTGATTCTATAATTAAATGCAAAAACATGCAGTTTACCAGAAAAAAACTGAGCTAGCTTGTGTGCTAGGAACGGTAGTCTTTTTTTTTTCTGAATGCAGCTGGCTGTGGCGCTCATTGCAGCTGTGGCATTGCAGACCTTTCAGTGTGATTGTAATGAGATAGAGGTCTGTTCACTGACCTGAGCTCTATGTTTCAGAGTTACACACAGCTGGGGACAGATAAGCAGAAACAGAGGCCTGGCTGGGTCAGTGGCCCTGAGGTCGAGTGGTCACTGAAGTGTGTACACCATCCACCCGCAACCCCTCCTAACAGACATGAACCGATACACACACATATCTACACACACCTTTGTTTAAGTCATTTCAATGGTTTCGCATCTTATTTTGGATGAAATTAACGACAAAACAGCTCACCACAACATTTTGAAAGCTCATCAAATATAAAACAATAATTTATTATTTCTCTCATTTTACAAGACATCAAATTGCGTGTCTAACTAATGATTTGTTAAACTGTATTATCTTGCTGCAATACAATGGAGACCTATATAAAAGGCTTTTTGTCTACAACAGACATTAATATCAACAATAATACAAACAGATTTAGATTTCAATAAATGTTTGATGTATGACCAATGTAACAGTAGCCGTGTGACGTAAGAACTTTAGGGAAAAAAACAGCACCTTTTAAAATCTGTAAAGCAAAGTTATTTGTTGTAAAACTCTGTCATAATGACTGAAAGGTATACAATAACACCCGGCGATTTTCTGTGATGATCATGAAGCTAAATATCTGCATTGCTTTAATGAGCAATATGTATGCATAAATAAGTACAATACTGTTGACTGTTAGTTTACTCGTAAAAAAAATAAAACAAAACAAAAATTCTAATGGTTCTTTATGGTCTTTGTACTGTTGTCCAAAAACCCTTTAGAGTCCGAATGGTCATGATTCAATAACAGAATATTTCAAACCACAAGCTCAATATAGAAATGAACAGAGCAAATAAGAAACACGTTCTCATCTCTTGTATAAAACCATCATCCTATTCAATATTTCAGACTCTCGTTGTACCTTCTTTTGGCAAATGGCTCCTTCATACAAGGCATTCATATTTCCTATTTACAAATGTTGCCGCATTGAACGAGGCAGAATTGTCTACCCCATCGGTAGTGTCCTATATACAGAACATTTCAGAGCCTACACTGTAGTCACAGAGAGTAGGGAATTGTACACTCGTGTCCCATCAGGGGACTTTGTACCATGGGTCAACAGTTCCTGGATAGTCATCCAATTGTCAAAGATTTTCTTATTCCGCTTCTTCATCATTTTTTTGTGACTAAGTTCGATAATGTTGACATCTTTCTTGTCCTCAGTGGTGACCCCCAGCTCTTTCTGACAATCCATACGGCTCTGCTTCATGAACTCCCTACGTTGACGTTGTTCTTTGGCACGGACGGCGTGTTGCTTGCGCTCTTCTTTGCTCCAATACCGACCCATCTTCATCTCGCTTACGGCATCATCATCTGTGGTCATCCCACTGCGCTCCTCTCGGATCCGTAGTGCTCGCTCTTTCAGAAGCTTGTCCCGAACTGGCCGCTTGGTAATGTATCGGGTACCGTCACTGCGGATCTTCACTTTCCATTCCATCTTGGGTCCCAAGTCAGCAGAAGTGACAGGGTCCCGGCACATGCTTACTAAGCTCATCTGGCTTTGGGCATACTCCACTGACTTTTGCTGGATCAGCTGCATGTAGCTCTGGTAGTGCTGGGCATGAGCCGGGATGTGGGCATGTTTGTAGGGTGATTGAGGATGTGCATGACGACCTCCTTTGCGCTCTCTGACTTCAGGTTGGGTACCAACCTCTGACTCTTTTAATAATGTTGGACGGCCCCTAGTGGGGCTGCAAGCCTCTTGGACGGGTGAGAGAAGGGGTTTGAGAATTCTGCTGGGACCAGAGGTACTGCTACTTGCCCCTGCTTCTGCTTGGCTTTCATTTCCACGTCGCAAGGAGTTGTCCGGGGAGAGCTCTAATGTGAGCGGGGTGCTACGGCAACTTTCACCAGTATTGTATGCACTGGAACTGTCCTTGTCAGACTTTTCCGGAAGTTCACTGATGTCTGCTAACTCGTGACGCCTTGCATCTACGCTTGTGTTGTAGTTGCGAAAGCCACTGTTGTGCAGCATCCAGGACTGTTCGCGGCACTGCTCCCGTAACTGCTGCATGCGGTGCGCTCGGACTATGCTCAGGCATTCAAGCTCAATGCTGCGGAGCTCCTCATTTAGAAGTTCCAGTTCTTTGTCGACACCCTCCTCTCCAACACCGCCTTGTCCACCACTGGGCCACAACAAGCTTTGATCTGGGGTACCACTACTGCCTGCACTCTGCATCTGGCACTTCAGCTCCAAAAGTTCCCGAAACCGCTCACATTCATCAGCAGGAAAGTCACCCAAGAATTCTGCGTCTGCATAGTCTGCAGATATGAAGGACTCACTGCTGAAGGGGAGGTCACCACTGCCAAGGGTGTCCTGACTGTATGCGAGTCTGCGCCGGCTGCCCAGTGTGGTGGAGGCGCTGGTCTGGTCATCTGCGAGATTCTCCTGCTCAGAGCTCTCATCGTTGCGAGTGCTGTCATCAGTGCGGCCCACACCACTGTCTTTCTCATGGTGGTGGGAGAGCAGTGTGGCTGTATCTGTTGTACCTCCATCTTCCTCGTGCTTTTTCTGTAACAAAACAATTCAGGGTATATTGTTAATCTCTTCAGTGAAAACCTTCAATAACACCATACTCTATGTATGACTACATTCAAGCCAGGATAAGGAATCGTTTGGGTTCTTTCATGATACTGATGGCGAATCTACAATGCATCCGCAAAGTATTCATAGTGCTTGACTTTTTCCACAATTTTTATGTCACAGCCTTATTCCAAAATGGCTTAAATACATTTATTTCCTCAAAATTCTACACACAATGCCCCAAAAAGACAATGAGAAAAAAAGATTTTTTGAAATTGTTGCAAATTTATATATATATATATATATATATATATATATATATATATATATATATATATATAAACCCTGAAAAATCACATGTACATACTGTAAGTATTCATTTGAATTCAATTGTTTTGAATTCATTCAAATTGAGCTCAGGTACATTCTGTTTCTACTGATCATACTTGAGATGTTTCAGCAGCTTAATTGGAGTTCACCTGTCTATATAAGGTCCCAGGGTTGACAGTGCATGTCAAAGCGCAAACCAAGCATGAAGACAAAGGAATTGTCTGTAGAATTCAGAGACAGGATTGTTTCGAGGCACAAGGCTCGGGAAGGTTACAGAAAAAACTTTGCTGCTCTGAAAGTTCCAATGAGCACAGTGGCCTCCATCAAGATGTTTGAAATCACCAGGACTCTTCCTAGAGCTGGCCGACCATCTAAGCTGAGTGATCGGGGGAGAAGGGCCTTAGTCAGGGAGGTTATCAATAACCTAATGGTCACTCTGTCTGAGCTACAGCTTTTTTCTGTGGCGAGAGGAGAACCTTACAGATGGACAACCATATATGTGCAGCAATCCACCAATCAGGCCTGTATGGTAGAGTGGCCAGAGAAAAGCCACTCCCCCTGGAGTTTGTCAAAAGGCATCTGAAGGACTCTCAGACCATAAGAAACAAAATTCTCTGATGACACTAAAATTAAACCCCTTGGAGTGAATGCCAGGCTAATTCTATCATGCTGTGAAGATGTTTTTCAGCAGCAGGAACTGAAAAACTAGTCAGGATAGAGGGAAAGATAAATGCAGCAATGTACAGAGACATCCTGAATGAAAACTTGCTTCAGATTGCTCTTGACCTGACAATGAACCAAAGCACACCGCCAAGATATAATTGGAGTGGCTTCACAACAACTCGGTGAATGTCCTTGAGTGGCCCAGCCAGAGCCCAGACCTAAATCCTATTGAACATCTCTGGAAAGATCTGAAAATGGCTGTACACCATCGCTTCCCAATCCAATCTGATAGAGCTTGAGAGGTTCTACAAAGAGGAATGGGTAAAAATTCCCAAAGACAGGTGTGCCAAGCTTTTGGCATCATATTCAAAATGACTTAAGGTTGTAATTACTGCCAAAGGTGCATCAACAAAGCATTGAGCAAAGGCTGTGAATTTTTAATAAATTTGCAACAATTTCAAAAAAATATTTTGTTCACATTGTCATTATGGGGTATTGTGTGCAAAATTTTAAGGAAATAAATTAATTAAATCCATTTTGGAATAAGGCTGTAACATAAAAAATGTGGCAAAAGTGAAGCGCTATGAATACTTTCCGGATGCACTGTAAGTATCGATTTGCCACTGGTATAGTAAAAAAAACCCAAGCTATTACATTAACTACAATAATTGCACTCTTATTAAGTTTCATTACTGATAACAGCAATGTTAGCAATTGTTTATACAGCCATATTTGCCTTTACTGGCAAAAATGACACAACACAGTATCTTCACATCCTAACATGTGAACTGTCTGTCATAACTGTGTTTGTCCACCAGATGCCACTGTAGTTCGCCAGCAACCCCAGCGGACTACAGTGGCTTTAGAACTACATTTCCATACATTCTTTCGCACACACACCTGGTCTCTCATCTACACTGATTTACAACCACAGCTGTCTCCGTTCTCTGTGATTACCTGGACTATATATTCAGTCATTCATCCTCTGTTTGTCAGTTGGTCGTTGTCATTGTTGGTATGTTGTTCCTGATCCTGATCCTGATCCTGATCTTGATCTAGCTCTTGCTCTTGCTCTTGTATCTTGTCTTAGTGTTAAAGTCTAGTCCCAGTTTAATCTGTTTAAGTTGCTCGTTTGTTTGTTTATTTTGTTAATTTGTTACTTTGATTTTTGGATTTTGTCACTGTTGCTGCACTTTCACATTAAAGATCTGCACTTGGATTCTACACCCGTTTTTGTTCCTGTTTTAATCCTGAAACGTGACACTGTCATGATACATTTTTTAAATGAAGTACACAAATAAGTACAATACTGTATGGCATTTAAACCGAACAGCTATAAGCCTAATTCTGTACCTTTTAAATTAATCATACAATAAAAGTAATTAAACTAAATTAAGAGCCATTTCAAATCTTGTTTAAAGTACAGAAGTTGTTACCCCCTTTACACAGGCAATTGTCAACTCATCTTGTCTATGGTTATTGCTGTCTTCAGCATTGGAGTTGACCATACTGGCACTGGGTGTCGGTTTACACTTCTAACTGGTTAAATCAATAGTCAAAATGCATTTTACCACATTTACACAAGTACAGATGTCCACTTCTAAAATGGATGTTTGGGGCCCTAAAATGTAGTCATGCTTTCTTTTAAACCAGAGTCCTAGCTTGACTGCTTTACCTCCTGCTCAGTGACAGACACAGACAATTATGATTGATATGTTGGATGTCATGCGATGACAGGCTGAGCTGTGATTGACTGATCTACTCCACGAGTGACTTTGTGATGGATTTGCTGTACCTGCTGAAGCATGCTTGCTGTGAACTGCATAGCCTGATGGTGTTGTTGCTCCAACATATCCATGTGAAGGTCATCCAGGTAGTCATTTCTGTCATCATCCATCCAACCCTCATCCAGCTAGTACAACAAGGACAGGACAAAAGCTATCAGCTGCCCTTCAGAGTTGGTAAAGAGCATGTATGATGTGTTTCTGGCATCTCACCTGTATCTCTGGCCGAGCCAATAGCAAGCACACATTTGGGTGTTCTTCACTGGTTAAAAGAGCCACTGCTTCCTCGCGGTTTTGGATCTCAATGCCATTGATCTAAATTATGGAGTGGAGATTTGTTTATGCAAAATGCCTGAATATTAAGACTTATTGCAAATAATCTCACTGATATAAAGCAAACCTGAATAATCCGATCTCCCTCTCGAATTCTTCCATCTTTCGCAGCAATGCTGTTTGGATCAATCTGTGCAATGAGAAACAATGGTGACCCAGAATACAAACTTGAACAAAGTGGCTTCATAGGCTTTAAAGAATGTGCCAGACATTACATACACAAAAACAGCTACTTTCAGGAAAACTCACCTCACTGACATAGATCCCCGTCTCATCCTCATCATCGGTCCTGTAGCATACGGTAAACCCCAGTTTATCATGGATGTTTGTTCTGTATAAATCCACTTCCTAAAAGAACAATGATATTTTAATGCATAGCAGATTTTACGTCCATTCAGGAAGCTGATATGCTAAACAATGTAAAAAGGCAGTTTAATCATTGCAATATACAAAAACAGATGTCTTGATCTACACATTTGAATTATATGGAGCTACATGCTGCAACAAACCTGTACAAGTGTCATGTCTCATTTATCTAGCTGACATCTGTAAAAAGGTGAATCTTATGAAAACCTGTCTAGCTCAGGTAACATATACAGTATGTATTTGCAGGGCTGGGCCGATAAACGATATTACATTGAATCCTGATCAAATTTATGTCAACGATAATAAGCTCTGGACTTTTTTACTCTACAATAATCTAAGGGTCAATCTCACAGCAGAAATGAGCAGCAATGGAAATCTAAAAGGCCATTTATTGGACCCTCTAATTTTTGTGGCTTCTGTCATAGTTGGGGTCAGGGGCGTAGCGGACATTTTAAAAGTGTGAAGGACAGCTGAATGACATCCAAAAGTTTATGTTCATATTAATCACCTTTTTCTAGGTAATTAGAAAAAGGTGATGCCCCAGGTTGGGGTACTCTTAAATCTGGAAGCATTAACAACTTATATTGAAATATATATCGTTATCCTTCAATATGGAAAATAATTATTGACATGGCATTTTTGCCCTATCGCCCTGCCCTGTGTATTTGTATGTACTACAATATACATGCAAGTGTTTTCAACATATTTATTATGACATATGAAATATGACATTACCAAACACTTACTTGGTATGTCTAATACAGCTTTTTACATTTTCTGTACAATATTGTTGTCTGTACGTAATGCATTTAAAAGTGCAGATGAACATCTTTATTGTTTATTGTTTTAATGTTAACATAACTTTAGAGTTAACATAAATTTAAAATATTTTTAGAAAACCCTTACACTCACCAAATCTGTCCATTTGCACTAAATACATTAAAATAGTACCATTACAAACAGTACTAAACAAAAATAACCTTCCCATTTTAATCAGCTTTTATTTATTTAAATGAAAATTTTCCCTATGATGGCAAAACTGAATTTTCAACAAAAGCTTTAGTCTTCAGTTCATTCAAAATTCTATGCTGATATGATACCAAATACACAAGTTTGATAAACAATACTGTATTTCTTTTTACATGACATCTTTGAAAACAGTAGTTTTTTTATATTGTGGTATTGAGAATTTACAGTGCAAATGTGTGGAGGTTGTCACAAAAGATAAGGGTTGTCGCGATGCCATTAAATAATCTTATGATACTATAACAACTCAAGTATTATGATACAAAGTAGTATTGTGATACTGTAATTCATAACTCAAATTATAAAGAAAGTGGTCAGAAATACTTTATCTTATGTTATAATCGGCCTTCTTTAATTTAATAAATAATTCCTTTAAGGCCAAAAAGTATTATTTGCACCTCACTTCACCTAAAATGTATTCATTCTTTTTGTTTATTTTGTAAATAACTGACCAACAAAAAAATACATTAAAATAAAGATACAAAATGCCAAATTAAATTTGTTACAAAAGAGCATTTACCAACAAAATTAGGCTATATAAGTGCTCAAAATTGTTTCAGTGTTTTCTGTTGCTATTTTGGGATTTTTATCTATTTTTTTCAGTCTTATCAGGCAACAATCCAATGGAATTTAAAATTTCACTTTGTGAGTCGTTCTTTAAAGAAAGATATTGTTGATGTTGTTGTAGTTACTAAATCATATTAACAGGAGAAGAAATGAACCGATTCACATGTGTGTTCCAATTAAAGTGTTAGAAAACGTGCAATAGACTACCATAAAAGGTGCGAATTCTATAACGTTTTCCAACCTTAAAGAGCTCCACAGACTATTAAAATAAAATGGTCTGTTGTTGCACAAACATGTGAACATTTTAGTGACTTTTCCACATGCAACATCTATTGTAGGTAAATTATTAATGATAATACTATTGTTTATAAACTACCGTGGCACTGAGAGTATTTTGAAGCCATATCGCAATACTACCATAGTACCAGTAAACCATGCATGATGCAACCCTACAAAAGATAATGAAAAGTTTAACGGTACCAGACACAATTTGAAAAACGGGTTTTTGTGTAATTTCCTAAGCAGTAACTGTTGATTATAACTTTATAAGCTGGTTATTTCATTACATAACATGATTACAAATCTCTCTAGCACATTACGAAAAGACCCTGAGCACTATGTATTAATGCATTGCCAACCTCAGAGCATCTAAAACTCTCTTTCCTTTGTCCTTGAGGTGCAAGAGCATTAATCAAGGTAAACAAGCGGGGAGGGAGGAGGTGGTGTTGAGCATTCAGATTGGCCCCATCCTAGTCATTGATCTCTGTCTGAAGGCCCCCACCGTGTCACCTGGAGGCCCTCAGGGGCCAATGAGAGGTCGTCGAGAGTACTGCATGCAGAGCATCTGCTGCTATAAGTCTCTGAACTTCATCTCTTTATGGACTCCTTCATTGTGACCCTCATGACTCACTGCCCAACACTCTCATTACGCTGCAATCTGTCTATGCTTATTGTACACCGAGATCCATCAGGCCAGTCTGATCCCAACCTATCCAATTATCTCTTTTCAGCGAAGTATAAGTCAATGACAAAGGTAAATAATGATATCCTCGTCTCGCATCTGTTTCAGGGCGAAAAAGGCTACTTGATATTAGTACGGCTGACCACTTGGGTGCCTGTGTGAGGTTATTGAGGGTTTGTTTGGTAAATTCACCAATTGATCAGCAGAGACAGATTGCATCAGGCCTGGCGTCAGCATGTCTTTCTTTATGTCTTCAGTCGTCCTTTTATCGTGAATTGAGTTAGGAGTAAAGGGAGACGTTGTGTGGTACATTACCTCATATTCCAGCTCTTCTCTTTCTATCTCGTGCTGCATGCCCTCTAGGAAATCATTAGGGTCGAAGTATTCATGAGCTGGAGAGTGCCTAGAAAACAGAAAACAAATCATATAAAAAAAAAAAAAAACATCATAGAGGGACTATAATTAAGAAAATAACAATGTGTTCAAGCGTTAAACGCTCTATAAAATGTCACCAGTTTGGTTCCTAACTTCATTACAACCTCTTAGCTTATGTGAGATGACCATGTGACAATGTGTACAATGATTTTTTTGTTGTTGTTTTACTCATCCAGTCTATTTTAGAGCTACCATTGCCAATTTTACAACACTTATTCAGGGCTGGAAATTAACTTTCTTACTTGGTAGCACTGGTGCTCCCAACCTGAAATATTTAGGAGCACCAGAAAAAATTTAGGAGCACTCACCAAAAATGAATGATATATTTGACAAGTTGTATATTAAGGGATTTGTTGTATTCGAAAACAACATCAATTGGGACTAACAAAACCCAAAAAAACTATCTAACTAATGCTGTGATGACTTAATATTTGTGCAGTAATTCCAAAATGAATGTTGAATAATTATAAAATATTAATGATGATGATGATGACAATAATACTAATAATGATTTATATTTCTCATCATCATGCTGCCTTGAATGTGCTTTAATGTAAGTTATCTGCTATATAAAGTCCTACTGTTACTTTATGAAAAAATATATTGATGGTTTGCATCAAACACAAATAAAGCATTGTAGTAAGAAATACTTATTTTGTACTATTGTTTTTATATGCATGTCAATTTAATAAATAATATTCTGCTACAAAACAAACGAAATAATATAATAAATGATTCAATTCAATGCTGAAAGCTGCAAAGCAGTCATCAGTAATTAAATAGAAAAATAATATACACCTCAAGAAAGAACGGACAAAAGAAAGGAAGAAAAGTCTCACTTTTAAAAGTTTTGGTTTCGGTTCGTGTTGTTTTAATGCTCAGCCTCGTTACGCGCTGAATTACATTTTTCTGTGTTTGCGGAAAAGCATGCGAGTCAGCCGGCCCAATATGAGGGGGGCAGAGCAGGATTCTCCCGATGACCACCGGCGCAATACTGTTCTTTGTTATAACTCGCATCAGTTTAAACTCAGTAAAGGCAAGCTTCTTTGGCGATGGTGTTTTAGCGGACATTTGCGCTGTTGCAGCCTGATCTCACGAGGAAACGTGAGATTGTGTTGGCTGAACACGCAGTGCATGCAACGCATCAAGATTCAGTGTACTTTTCACTCTTCAGCCATTTGCATTCCCCACGGTCACAAAAGCTCCCTCCCTGTCGACTGACAGCGGAAAGTCTTGAGTGAGTGACAGCTAATATGAACCAATATAGCGGCAGTTTTTAGAAAAAAAAACAAAAAAAAACAGGTCGCACTACAACCATTATATGCAGTTGCACGAATGCTCCCAATATATATTATGAGGTCGCATAGCTTAAATTACAAGCGCATATTTCGAGCCCTGTTATGTGACACTTTATCCTTGGACAACACCACTCATTATCTATTTTCAAAACTCAGTTTTTTACAAAGTATAAGAAATAATGAAGTAAAGACAAGCATGGGAATTAGAAATAAGTTGTATGTTGGCGGTACAAAAATTAATTAAACTCTACTTTCAAAGCTTTAACCTGTGAGAGACAAACCCAGAGGACACATGCAGATAGATAAGGTAAATCCAAATAAATGAACGTAACTTAATTTCATCTTGTGCCCTGGGCCTAAACGTCTAACAAGTATATTAAAATCTTGTTGAGCTGGCAGAGCAACTTTTAAATGAAGTAAAAACCATGTAAATACTACAAATAGCTACTCCCTCTGCTATAATCCACAGTTAGGTTTCCAAAATCTCTAATAAGCATTGTAAGTGGTCCAGGAATCTGTCACTCACCCCTCTGGCAGGAGGTACTGTTCAAGCACATCCACAGGAGTGGAGGATGTAGGCAGTTTGCTGAGGGCCATGATATGCTGGAAGGTGATGTCTGTCTGGGTGCTGATGTCCACGACCTGTCCTTCCCCAGTCGGGCCTGTAGGTTTAGGTCTGGGAGCCCGACGGAGCACCTGGACCATAATGGGCTCTTTAGCCATACGGAAAGCCTCCACTGCCTGGTCGTGTGTCGCCTTGGACAAGTCTTTTCCATTGACCTGTTGAAACAGACAAACATAAGAGCATTGATTTAAACCAAGAATGAACACAACAGGTACATAGGTGCGCACTCATTATTAAAATAAAAAATCTGCACCAAATGTAATAATAAAAAAATAATAATAATAGGTGGCGCAGTAGGTAGTGCTGTCGCCTCACAGCAAGAAGGTCATTGGTTCGAGCCTCGGCTGGGTCAGTTCTCGTTTCTGTGTGGAGTTTGCATGTTCTCCCCGTGTTCGCATGGGTTTCCACTGGGTGCTCCGGTTTCCCATACAATCTACTGACATGCGCAATAAGTGACTTGGATGATTAAATTGGCCTTAGTGTATGGGTGTGTGGGTGAATGTAAGAGTGTATGAGTGTTTCTCAGTAATGTGTAGCGACTGGAAGGGCATCCGCTGTGTAAAACATATGCCAGAATAGTTGTCGGTTCATTCCGCTGTGGCAACCCCTGATAAATTAAATATATATCTCTTGTTTTTGTTTTTTAAGCAGCAGTTTTAGCTTCAGAATTAGTTAAGGTTGAATCTAATGGAGCGGGCCACAGTACATGAGCTTGTACAACTTTCCACGTTTGTGGATTGGAGGAAGAATGAAAAATGAATAATGTTGGAGACTGTGGAGTTTAACAAATGACTAAGTAAAATCACTTACAGCAGTAACGTCACTGTAAAGCCCAACATACTGTACACAGAACCCCAGTATTAGTCTTAAGATTATCTATAGACAATTTTGAGGGATGTAAACAAAAACAATGGTCCTAATGTATTTCCTGATTTACATTTTTAATTTCTATAGCTTCTGAGAATCTAAAAAGAGCCACATATTATGAAATAATGTTTTAACATTAAGTTACGATTAAATTGCCTCTTGTTAGTTATCAAATAGTTTGATAACATGCAGGAAATGTTCATTGGCTAATGCCATGACCACATTAAAATGGTCTATAACTTGCACGTTATCATTTCCGCCATAACCGGTTAACAATTTTTTATAGCATTTCAATGAACTTCCTTTCCATAATATCTTTTATAAGAGCAATCAATGCTATCAAATATCGGAAGTTACTTGCCCCCTACAAGATACAGCTGAAATAGGTCACTTATTCACATGTAACCAAGTAATCACACAGACTTTTCTAATACTTGCATACAAGAGAAAATAATAAACAGTAGCCGACACCGTGTTGATCTGAACTACTTTATGTTTATTAGTCAGAACAATGTCAGGAGGAACTCTAAAAAGCCAGGATGCCGAAATGCACACACAGTCAGCATACAAGCAACTAGGACATTCAAAATGAAGCCTGTTCATTACAATTTTCTATAAAGTAAAAACTGCACTATAAACAGGACAATCCAATCCGACAGTGTAAATTTCCTTTCTATTGGGCTGAATGAAACCTAGTTCCACTTTAATGTCACACAACTGCAGTACTTGCACACGCAATGTGGAATATATGTGCAAAACAGCACAAAAAGTGTCAGACCAACTTAAATGACATATAAAATGTTTTATCTGAGACCGGAGAAGGATCAGCATTGCTTTTTCGCACTATGGCTGTCAAGAATCACAAGTGCTTCAGCTCAGTGACTGCCTGAAAGATCTGTGATATAAATGAAATGCTACCGGCTGTTTTTTAGTGGAGGAACTACGTTATTGAACAAAGCTGCACATTTCTAGGCACTTCAGTGGACCTTTAATCAGTAAAGCTGTACCGAAATATCCAAAGAAGCAAAGCAGCCATTGCAACTGCATCCAGCTAGACTCAGCGAAACGACAACAACAACATAAATTAGAAAGCGCTTTCTTGCTAATTAATCAGGGTCATTAAACAAAGCGAACCAAGGGAGCTTTCTTTAGCTAAGTAATTGAAGACGAGGGCCTCCCAGAAAGATGTTGTGGTTGCCGTACATGAGGAAATGAATGCAAGCTTGAGGGCCGAAGCATGGCACACCAATCAAGAGCAGTGCTCTGAAGATGAGGGCTAAAAGTAATGAGAAAGAAAAGGTTCAAAGCAATCTTGTAGTGCAGGAAAGCAAGGCCAGATGGGGTCAGAGCTGCACACATTGAGGGACATTTCAAAATGCATTTGTTGCATTTAAGTGTTTGCATTTGTTACTACCAAAAGATGTCTATGACGATAACACAGTGCTGCTGCTAGTACTTTTATATACAGTTGGAGTCAGAATTATTAGCCCTCCTTTGATTTTTTTATTTCCCAAATGATGTTAAGCAGAGCAAGAAATTTTCATAGTATGTCTGATAATATTTTTTGTTCTGGAGAAAGTCTTATTTGTTTTATTTCAGCTAGAATAAAAGCAGTTTGTAATAATAATAAACCAACACCTAGCTAACCTAATTAAGCCTTTAAAAGTCACTTTAAGCTGAATAGAGGTGTCTTGAAAAATATCTAGTAAAATATTATTTACTGTCATCATAGCAAAGATAAAATAAATCAGTTATTAGAAATGAGTTATAAAAACTATCATGTGTAGAAATGTGCTGAAAAAAATCTTCTCTCCATTTAACAGAAATTTGGTAAAAAAATAAACGGGGGGTAATAAATCACTATAAGTGACTTGGATGACTAAATAGGACTTTGTGTGTGTGAATGTGAGAGCATATGAGTGTTTCCTAAAGTGTTGCGACTGGAAGGGCATCCGCTGTGTAAAACATATGCCAAAATAGTTTTCGGTTCATTCTGCTGTGGCGACCCCAATAAGGGACTAAGCCGAAGGAAAATGAATGAAAGAATTTTTAATGAAAAGAAATGGAAGTCTTTGTTATTCTGACCAACTCTCATTTTCTAGAAGAAAAAAAAACCTGTACATGATAACATCATATTAAAAATTCAGAGGAAATGCTGTCAGACATTTAAAGAATAAAACAAATGTTAACATTTTATATTATTAAAATAAAATATAATATAATAAAATATAATAAATACAATGAGAAATTTAAAGTGGTCTCTTTGATGTTTTTTTCATAGCTGTGATTATCAGGTTTAAATATTTCTATATTATTGGTTTCTTGTTGTGGTAACTACCAACTACTGTATATACACTCACCAGCCACTTTATTAGGTACACCTTCCTAGAACCGTGTTGGACCCCCCTTTTGCCTTCAGAGCTGCCTTAATCCTTCATGGCATAGATTCAACAAGGTACTGGGAATATTCCTCAGAGATTTTAGTCCATATTTACATGATAGCATCACACAGTTGCGGCAGATTTGGTGCAGATGGTTGTGCGTGAAAATCCCAGTAAATCAGCAGTTTCTGAAATACTATATGCATTGAGTTGCTGCCATGTAATTGGCTGATTAGAAATTTGGTTTAATGAGCAGTTGGACAGGTGTACCTAATAAAGTGGCCGGTAAGTGTGAAGAGCAGTGCCAAGTGAAATAAAATAAAAAAAATAAATATGCTATACAAATGTCCTAGTTAGGCTATGTCAACTTTAACCTAACAGCAAATGCTCCTTCATTAAGATGCAAAAGCACGACTCTTAGCAAGTCTGCTAACAGGGTGTTTGACCTTGGATGAACCGCCTCTCTTATCTCAGAGCTTATAAAGCTTTTCCCCATGTGCTCATTTCAACAAACGCAGCGTTCCCCATTTGTTCATTTTTTTGATTTCTAGATGAGAGACAGCTTTGATAAGATCTTTGCTAGAGGCATTCACACCCACTTATGCAAACCTGCTTGTACACACACACACGTGCACACACATGCACAAACACAGGCTCACAATAGCACAACAATGTGATGAAATTCATGGAAAAAAAAACAAAAAATATTGGTTGATGCAATGCTTGAGAATCCACAAACATCTTATTATTGCACACAAGGTGACTATTTCCAAATGCACACACATTTACATGCAGATACTCAAAACACTTCTTTATTTTAAAAGCATAGTTTTCAGAAGTTGTATGCCATATTGTGTTATGTAAAACATTTCAAACATCAAACATCTCATACAGCTGTTAGAGATCCACAGTGCATGCAGTAAGTTCATGTTAAACAAATAAATAACTGGTGAGAAATATGTTCAGTCTAATTCACAAGCTGCTGGATCCCATTCTCGGATTTCCAAACAGACAGGATTGGAGCACTTGAGCTTTGAAGAGGGAATATGTTAACTAATAACCAAGAGGATTAAAACTAATCCTAGCCTGAGGGATAATTGGAAGTTTGGAACATTCAATATGAATTTAAATTCGGAAACTTTCAAACCGAAACAAAGACTTACCATTTTTAACAAAAGAACACCAAGGAAGCTTTTTTAGGGAATGTTTGCCAAAACTCATATCCAAAATGAACTTCAATGTAATGTTTTCTTTAGACTATAAGAACAACCATGGTAAATGCAATACAATGGTATAATAATAAAAATATAAATATTTTGTTTTTACTATTATTATTATTATTATTATAATATAAAAAATACTTTAAATAATTGTTATTTGAAATATTTTTTGTTGTAGGTTTTACTCATTGTCCGCATAAAGCTTTAAATAATATAAAATATAGTAATATTTGTTTTGATCAAAGTGCCTGGAGACTGAAGAGTCCAAATACGTCTCAGGCAGTTTTTGTTTTCACAAATCCACCAAAGGCCGCGGTGTACGCTTTTTCAGATCTCAAATTTATTTCGCAAGTGCCATTCGCATAAATCCACCAGAGGCCACTGTCGACTGACTGACTAACCAGCTGATCGATACCCCCACTCACCTTCTTCCCTAAACCCAACCAATAGTGTTTTAAAAAGTACAAATTGACCCACTAGAGTATCACAGTTTACCGATACTATAGTAGTACCGTGATACTAGCAAGAAAATACCGACGGTGCCATTGTAGTTTGTTAACGGTAGTATCATCATTAATGGTTCTACAATAGTTAATGCTGCATGTGGAAATGTCACTAAATAAAACAGAAAATGTCAAATAATACAAATCATACTTTTTTTTGTTTAATAATAATAGTTAAATATAA